TAACTACAGGGGCTTTAGTGTACTTCAGTCCATTCTTTCAGGAGTTTTTTTTTTTTTATTTCCGCAAAGAATTTTACAGTTCTGAGAAAAACATCAGAATAAATTATAGTTTGATAATATCATTATATATCATCTTATCATATCTGTTATCATTATTGCTTGTAACGAATGAGTAGGTGGTATTTTGTTTTTGTAATATTCTTTAGCCATGTTCGCTGTACTGTTATGGAAAAGTAATGTATATTGTATCATATTTTATTCGAAAGCACAAACATTATTGTTTTTATTATCGTTACTGCTATCATTAGTATTATCATCATTACCATTATTATCATCATCATTACCATTATCACTATCATTATTATTACTATTAATATTATCAGTATCACTATCACTAATTTATTATTATCATTACTACTATTAATAGTAGTAGTAGTAGTAGTAATAATAGCAGTACTATTACTATTACTGCCAGTCCTACAATTATAATCATCATCATTACCCTGTGTCTTTGCGTGTGCAAGTGTTTCCATCAGGTATGTGTGCGCGTGTAAGAGGTTTTTACGTTCTTGCCCCCCCCTACCCCCGCCCCCCACAGCAAGTCCTTTACCTGGCGTCTTGGGGCGCACGTGCTTCAGGTAGTTGGCTGGAAGTAGGTCTACCTGGCCCTCCGCGAGCGCCAGCCTGCAACGGGTATGAATAACAGAGTAGTTAAGAGTAAAGAATTAGTAAATAGCAAAAAAAAGAGAAAAAAGAAGAAAAAAAACAGGCTTTGTTCCGTGGTGGACAGCAATACACTTCTCAGTAAAGTGTCTTTTTGTCAACAAATTTATACAAAAGCATAATCGCAGTTGCCGCTGACCAGACAAGCACACGAAATGTTCTTTATACAAAAAGAAAATGTAAAACTTGCACGCAACGATCAACATGCGAGTGTGCATTCTGAAGTCTGTTCAGTTTAATCTTCATTTCTGCTGCTGCTTTGTTGCTGTTTTGGTAGAATGTTGCAAGCTTTTGCGAATTTGTGCCAACTAAATTATTTATTGAATTAGAACCTACGTAATTATATACATTTCCTTCCCCAACGCAGTCTGATTATATCGTACCGCGTTCTGTGACATAATATATATTGATATATTAGAAATATCACCTATGTCTCTTCTTGCAAAAACGATTTATTGAAGAAAACAATCATATTTCGAGTAATACCAATTCTGCCTCTGGCTCAAATATCCCCTCTACAGAATACGACAAAACGAGAGAGAAAAATGAAAATGTATAATTCGAATATGAAAAGTTTCAAATTCATCATGTCTGTTTACTCGTCCCTTCGAACGAAAACATATTAATACATATTCTTAATATTCCTTCCTTCCTCGCAGCAATATTCAGCTCAAATTATATCAACTTGTCGAAGTTCTCCCTAAAAAAAAAATGATATCCAATCATACTTAATGTTTACGGAGGTTCGGCTTCAATTAAGCAGTAGAATAAGTTTCTCCTGACCCATGCCAGTAAAATAACAAACACCGAATACGACAAAATGGAAGAAATATAATATGAAGAAGAGGAAGGGGTAGATGAAGATGAAATTATCTGGTTTACAATATATGATGATCATAACAAAAATTACAAGCGCCATTCTCTGACAAAAGTCCCTTTGACGATTCAGCAAGCGTGGGTAGCTTGGCGTGATGTCCAAATACTAATTTTATAAAGGCTTTCTTGTGTGTGATATATATATATATGTGTGTGTGTGTGTGTTATACATATATATATATATATATATATATATATATATATATATATATATATATATATATATATATATATATATATATATATATTATACACACACATACACACACACACACACACACACGCACACACACACACACACACATATATATATATATATATATATATATATATATATATATATATATATATATATATATATATATATATATATACTATTCCTCTCCTTCTTTTCTCTCTCTTTTCTTTTTCCTTCCCTCTCCCTCCCTCCCCCCCTCTCGCTCTCTCTCTCATGCCCTCTCTCTCTCATTCCCTTTCTCCCTAAGGCGAGCATATAAGCATGATCAGTGTAATCCATTAGCTCAAGATGGCGCCTGCAGACTAGAAGCCGACCTGCCTTCCACGTGGGCTCCACGTTGGTCTCAGAACCAGAGCCCAGGCGGGAACAAAGATAACAATCGATCTGTTTTGTACACCCGGCGCCATTGGGTTAACATCGCGAACACTTCCAGCAGCGCAGCCCTAAAAAGCTGACACAGGCCGGGCCATAGCCGAAGGCCCGGGCGAAGCTAGACTTCGCAAAACTCAAATTCAATGCCTCCCCCCCCCACCGCGCTCAAGCACCGTTTCCGGTTCATCGTATCGTTTCTTCATTTATCTGTGTGTACTCTTTTAACAATAAAGAGTCAAACCGTACCAATCTATCATTGCTATCCACCAGTCCATTGCACTGAAGCACTATCAACCTTTTACTGTCCCTCCCCCTTTTCTTCCCGATCTGTCCTTCCCCCTTTTCTTCTCGATCTGTCCCTCCATCTCTCTACTTTCTCTCACACTCCCTCTCTTTCTTTCTTCAACCGAAGACATTCATCCGGGACTTTTGACCCTCCGGCCAAGCGGAACTGCCCGTGGAGGCGTCTAAAGGAGGCATCGTCAGGCAAATGTGTGTATATAACAAATTC